CTCGCATTTCTGCGAATGTGGGGCCCTTGAGATAATGCAAAGCTTCACATGTAGCACCACCGACCTTTAATTTATGTGACCCTTATTTCTAGCCGTACGATTTGAATGGATAATTGACTTCAAGCATAATATCACATATTCGAAGAGAAATAATAGCGTGCTCACCGCGATTAGTGCTCCGCCTATTTGAAAAACCATGGAGGCACCAAAAACGCTTCAAACTACTTTGGTTCCAAGACTTAAAATCCATTTTTTTTCATGTCCGTTCATCTTCTCGTCGAGATCATCAATTTGAAAATTTCTAGGCATAGGTGAATTTTTTATTGGTTATGGCCCTGCCCAAAATATAAACCTTTTCTTTTCTTTAATGGAAGATAGTTTGATAGGGTCGCAGCCCTATTAAAATAAGTAAAGTCTTACCGAATAACTTGTTGAAAATTGTAATTTAAGTAATGAAAAACATTTACATGGATCATCTCAACTTTAACATTATGGTTGTAAAAACAATTAAGATTTCAAACTCTAAAAAATGTGTATATTTTAACACATTATGTAGACCATCCATTTCAACCTAAAAATAAGTGTTCAAATATTAGCAAGATCTATACATTTTTTGAGTTTTAAATTTTATTATTGGTGTTAAAATTTGATTTAAAAACCACCCTGAAATTTATTTTGTTGCCGAAAATGATTACGAAACGAGGATTTAAAGTGAGGCTTTATTTGGTTTTCATCGAAACTTGCGTTATAGAAACTTCATCCTTATTTAATTTGGATCTCCCCGACGTGGGGTAACAAACAAGTTTCGATTTGCTTTGCAATCCGCTGGTTATAAGTTTTGAGCATGTGTAGTATGCTACTGCAGGAGCATACTATCCGTGTTTACTTGGGCCAAAAACTTACTCGGGAGAATTTTATATATCTCAAATTTTGGGAACCACCTAACAATCATAAGTTGATTATTTTTAAAACAAAAAATTTAGTTTTTGCATTTTTTAACACTTATATCTCACCCTTCAAAACTACTCACCCTCAAAAAAATAGATGATCTCTATTCAATCTTGCGTTAGATCACTGCCTTTATTTTTTTCAAGCACATAGAAAGTGCAATTTGATTTTCTTTTTTTTTTTAATGAAGAAAATCTATTGGTTGAAGAGGTTATATCCCCAAAATTTGATGTTCTCAAAATACTCCTAAATTAAGTTTTACTCAAAAGAGTAAATACAAACTATAATCTTGCATGAAATCTTTTTTGGCCTAAGCGTTATTTAGTTTGGAGCACCAAAAGCATTCGACTCCATACGAATGAAAATGGACAATCTACTATTAGTATTCGAATAACCTTATGTGTCTTAAAACCCGTTGTTGAGGTAAACCAATTGTGGATCGTCCAATAATTGTATATATCTATTGTGGATCGTCCAATTGTATATGTGTATAAAGAAAGCTAACAATAGTTGGACAGTTATAATGATAGTAATAGCTGGACAGTAATAATGAATAGTAATAAATGTGGATTCCACCTATATTACTATTCAATATAGCTGTCTACCTATTATAAGTTTTTTCCATATATATATATATGAAAAATACTACACAACGTCTATAGGTGAAAATAAACAGTGATTTCGCCTACCCCCGTCACCGTCTAAAGTTCATCGCGTGGTCCCGATTGTTCGATAGTATTTTATTTTTTATTTTTTTTCTATAAATCAAAATGACTTAAAATTTGGAGCGTGTATTCATCAAACATAAGGTAATCTTCTAAAATTAAAAAAAAAAAAAAACCAAAAAACAAATTTACATAAAAAATTGACCAAAATACCCTCAAAAAATTTCAGGGGTATTTTAGTCAATTTATTTTTTACATATATATTTTTTAATATTTTTATTAGATGTGCCTCAGTAATATGTACATATCTTCCAAATTTAAGGTCATTCCGATTGGCTGAAAAAAAATGAAAAATAACATACTACAGGACAATCGTGACCGCGAGATAAAATTTGGACGGTGATGAAGATAGATGTATTCACTGTTCATTTTTTCCTATAGACGTTGGAAAGACTTGACTTTTCCCCCCCTCTCTCTCTCTATATATGCCCTCCTTCCCCTCTCTATCTTTGTCTTTGTACAATTGTCCCAATGTCTTAAAACCATAAATTAGCTATCTACTGTACCGATCTAGATATGCTGAACCAATGAAAAATGGGTGCGGTTTCTATAAGATTGCAAACTTAAACAATCCAATATCGACGCACCTCCAATTTTATCATAACATGTAATTTTGTTGTAAAAAATTCTTAAGATTATTTTAAAATCTTTTTTCATATCTAATTAAAAAATTTTAAATTCCAAAAATGGTTAAAACCAAGTAGATCTATAAATATATGAAAATCTTGAAAATTGACGGTCTAGATAATAAGTTGCAAGATGCATTTTTTTTGAGATTCAAAAACTTTTTTTTTTTCATATCCATACATCTCGATGTCGAGATGATCAATTAGAGGGTTTTCCAAAATTAAAATAACATTTCCGATAGATTTTTGAGGTGCATCTATGATTCTACGTTTTAAGGTTGCAACCTTATATAAACTTTTCCCATGAAAAATTGGTAAAATATAATAACAAAATCAGTCACGGCAATTGTAAGGGGACCTAAATCATCTACCCACCATATCAACGTTTTTTGCGAACATTGCCTCTCTCATCTCTCTTAATTATTATTATTTTTTGGAAGAGGTTAACATTCGTTATTTCCACTAATGCTTTAAAAGATGCTTCTCTCTTAGTCTCTTTATTCCCTCTTAATCTATTTATTCTTTATTTATCTAGGATTATTTTCTTTGGCCTTTGAAATGTAAAGAACTAGCCAAGTCAAAGATGCTTGTGATAAATAATTGAGAAGCAATGTGTGGTATTGCTTTCAATGCTGGTTTGTGGCCCTAAAGATGCATGTGATAATGTCGCCGCGTAAGTTCAAGACTTGCAACACCCCAAAAGCTGGCTTGGAAGCTTTTTATTGAAATGTATGTAGCAGTAAAGTTTTTTTATTAAAGATGATGACAATCATTATTAACTGTTAGATGTAAAATAAGATGGTTGAGCTTGTTTCATTGATTGGACAAAAAGTATTTTTTTGAATATTGCAATACATTTTAGCCTATTAAATTTTACATTTAATCGTCAAAAATGATTGTGATCTCTCTGTACCAAAAATAAATGGTTTCATACTATATAATCTCATTTTTAAAACTAGTAAACTTGATGATTCATGACGAATCTTGATAAAAGAAAATAATACAGTATAAAAAAAATGAAAGAAAATTAATCAAAGTACTCGTTAGAGATGAAGTATTTAATATTGGGTTGTGTTAGGGTACTCACACTATAAAGTAATTTATCATTATACTCAATAAATTTGTACACTTATACACCTTTATTTTGTACATAGATTTTTTTTTAGGAAGAGTATTTTTTATCATTAGGATGGATGTGACATCATCTATATAAGTGTGAATTACCCACATAGAGCAGTAAATGTCACTAGTATACAAAACAAAAATATAAAAGTATCCAAAATTTGTTAAGTACAATGATAAATTACTCTATAGTGTGAGCAACCTAACATAATCATTTAATATTTTGTCTATTTGTATTTCAACTGAATACCGTATCTTCTTTTATGAGTATTTTGAAGCTAAATCAAAAGATGTGACATCTCTAGTAAATAATTTGACAAATCTCCAAAAAAAAAAACAAAAAGCTAGATCAACTTATTCGGGCTTTTTGGGAACCATGTCTTCTTTTATGGGTATCTTGAAGCTAAATCAAAAGATGCAAGGGAAGAGCTAAATTGTTCATCTCTAGTAAGTAATTTTACAAATCTCCAAAAAACTAAAATACAAAATGCTAGATCAACTTATTTGGGCTTTTTGAGAAAAACTTCAAAAATCACTTATTTTTCTTGATGAGTAACCTCAAAGTCACTTCCAATATATCTACCTCTAACCTGGAACTTGAGGGACAAGAACCAGATACCTTGGGGGGAAGGCACGTTACCTTAACACTGGAGGACTTTTGAGACAATGCAAAGCCTAACATGCAGCACAACCGATATACAAAATTTATGTGACCCTGATCCTTGCTGTACCACTTGAATGGACGATTTGGATGACTTCTTATAATGTCTTAAGTTAGTCTCTAAGCATCTAAGTTGGTGCGGATTAGAGTTTTTTTTTTTCTTTTATTTTTTTCTAATAAATTATTTTGCAATAAGTCTTGCGCACCTCTGTAGGGTTACCCCAAATAAAGATAATAAAATTATTTTATATTGAAGAAGTTGACCAACATACCCCTAAAACAAATAAAAGTATTTTGGTTATTTTATCAAAGATATATATTTTGATTTTGCTAGGTGCACCTCAATAAGATGAGAGCACGCCCCAAATTTCATGCAAGAACGTTTTGTAAGAATTAAAAATAAAACAATACTAGGCAAGACCAACATTAGCAGGTCTTTTATTTAAATCATGATTTTTGAAATCCATAAAGAACTCGAGTTTTTCAATAGATCTTAAAAAAAAACAAGATTTTAATAAAATATTCAAAAAATCTTATTCCTTGTACTTTAATGAAACTTCCTCTCTCTCCATTGATTTGATACGTTCGAATTTAGGTTCGAGAGAAAGACATTAAATGTAGGATTAAATAAATAATCTTAATTTAACAAAAAAATTTATCAAAAGTTTTCACCAATATCATAATCATCATCACAGCCTTTTCCCAACTATTTGTGATAAGATACATGAATATTGGTCCGTCAATCTGCTCTATCAAGGAGCATACCCTTACTGAAGCAATAAGTGGCTATATCTTTTTTCATTACTTCCAACTACGTCCTTCCCTCCGCCCCTGCTATCACACTATACAACTAGTTTTGTCCTTGACAAAGAGCCTTGGGAAAAAATTAAGATGGTCCACCCATGCACAACATTTCCAGATCTAGTTCCAAAAACAATCCATGTATATTCTTGGTGGAATAAGCAGCATTACTAAACATCAATGAGTTAATAAGTAGCTCCCTAGAGTCAAGCCATATATACAAAACTTCTTTACAGTTGACCCCCATCCATGGAAGGAAATGGAAAATGGCTGGTCATTCATTTTTGTGTAGGTTATGTAGAATGTACAAAGAAGCAGATGACAGGAAGATACAAACAGAGTAGCTGAGAAGATCGAGCCCAGTCACTATGTTCACCATCTTGCTCCTCTCAAACATTTTAACTAAGAGAATCATGACTATGACGTGCCCCACCTTTGTTTTCAATTCGTCAAGAGAGCTTATCTTCATCCACCGAGGTCTCTCCTGCACAATGAAAGAGAATTTTGTTTTTCTTGACAATTAAAGTAAACAGATCCATCACCCATCTTTTTGCATTTCAATCTCTAGGTAACATCGTGACTGCTTTTTGTTATCAGGGACTCAGCTCAGTAATTCCTTCGTGAACTTCAACTTGTTTTACTTTTCTCTTAGAAATTTTTCATGAAAATCACCGAAAACATTGCAAAAATTAATATAAAGAAAAAGGAAGACACTAGTAAATGTCAGGACAATAAACGTAGGTCAACTCAACCAAAATACTCCCACCCAAAGGGACATTGTGCCATTTGCTATTGGCAAATTATAAAACTGTTTCTACTGGTTTCAGACTTTCAATAAGAATTCTCACATCACTATTAAATGGTTTTGTATCGTACTTTAAAGAGTATCAGGAAGAGTGAATGAGATATCAAAGAAAGTTGCCAGGACAAAAGAGTCCACGGCACAAAGGTGGCAAGCATTTGCAAATGGTTATGAAAGGTTATACTTGCAAGGTCTCAAACAATCAGATGATGAACTCATTTATTGGGAAGCTGCCTGCTGTAGCCAATAGTTAAGTAGGCAAAAAAAATAAAAGCAACTGTGAAATCTGCTTTCAAATATACAATCCGCATAAGTATCCTACCAGTGCAAGCAAAACCTTCCGTAAAGCTTGACCTTCCCATATTACATAATAATAGGTCAGAAATTGTCGGATATTAGAAGGAATATCTAATAAATGTCTTTTGTAAGATATTGGCAGTGAAAACAGCACAATTTGCGATCAAATATCAGAAACAATCCAAATAAGTATCCTATCAGTATAAGCAAAATGTTCCATAAAGCTTAATCTGCCCATATTATTTAACAATAATCCTCTAATTGTCAAATATCAGAATGGATATCAAATGTATGCTTTCTGTAGATATTGACACTGAAAACATATGAGCCTAGTAATACAAAAATCAAAAATAATGTTTTACAAGAACCACCCAAACCCTTTAGAACTGGAGTATATGATCATAATGAAGTAAAAGAATCAAAAAATCTTAAGGGAAATGGAAATCCTCTCTAGAAGCATAACAACAGATTGCAAGGAGATCCAAACAAGCATATGGGAGAATGCAATTTTTCTTTCAGAACTAAGGTTAGGCTGACCAACATCTTTTTGTCTGCATCTGGGTCAAAATGAAAGGACATTTACCAACAAAACAAGGACATGACAGAGAAGCACGTTACATATCTTCTCCTTTTAATAGTTGGCATTTTCTTTTGAGAAAATTATACAATGAGACCATTTATTTTTGGTATAAACAGGTCATAGTCATTTTCAGCCATTGGATGTGAAATTGGCTGATAGAGGTGCGCTATTGATCTGGCAAAGTCCCAAAGAATATTTTATGAACTTCATGAAAAACCCCAAGCTGTCAAATTTCACATCTGATGGCTCGGGGTGACTGCGACCTCCTTGTACAAGGGTAAATAGTCTCGTATACAAACTCTTTTTTATACCTTTGAACAGAAACAGACACTCAATTTGTCCAATAGAATAGTAGATACCTTAAGAGCAAACATTCCAAACAAGGAAGACCCCCCGAGTGCACGGTCATGAGAGGCAGGTACATTAGGAGACACGTTGCTAATAAATAGACCATATAATCCCATGCCAAATATTAGCATGACAGTGCCCGCGAGATAAACATCTGCACAGGAAAAGAAGTTCAGACTTATTCATCCCAGTAGAATGAAGGCAACCAATTCACATATTACATTATTAAATAATACAGATGTTCACTAGTATAAATGGACCTAGTAGAATTAATCCATGCGACTTTAATATCCCATACATTTTTGGCTGACTGCAGTTTACATATGTATCACATTCTTGACCCAATTCTGGCATGGTACAGGGCATTGGATTCCGAGGGAAGTTTCATTTTTGGGAGTTGGAACTCTTTTATTTTTTGATGGTATTTTACAGAGTCAATTTCATCCAATTCTGAAGGAAATTTGGTGTTGGAAGGTGTCTCAATAACTTTCTATCAATTCTGGAAGATTTTCCTAACTGGAGCCTTTATCAATGGTTCACATTAAAGCTTGTGAGCAGAACTAATGTGACTGCAATAAGTGCATGCATAATCTGTCTTTCATCAGAGCAAATTTTCTTGTGGAACACAAGGCAAGTCGGTGTTCATATATCATAATTGCTATGTTTTGTGGTTTTGTTTAGCTGTCAACCTTTTAACAAGCACAATTCATAGAGCAAATTTCTTGCAGAGCAAAGCGGTCCACGTTTACAATGGCAACAAAATGGTCCATAGCCGTCCAATTGAAATGGACGCCTAGAGATTTTGCACCTTCCCCCAAAATCTCAGTCCACCATTGAACTGGATGGATGTGGACCCCATGATCAATGCACTACACATTGACCACTTGGTCCATAATCCAGTGGAGTATCTTATATGATACTCCAAATGGAAATGGAATTTGCCATCCATTCTCAATGACAGAATGAAGATTAACAATAGTGGAACTCACCAGGACATCCCCCCATGTACAGTTTATCAACAGGAAGAAAGACAAGATTATCATTTACTCCACTGGAATATGGTAAGCATTTTTTTTGTTAATGAATCATTGGAGTATAGAATATTTCTCCATCATATATTTCATAGGAACTGTAGAAGTTACAATCGGAGCACAAAGCACATAATTTTGCATTCGTAGATTAAGAATAACAGAATTTCTTGCATGTGAACACATAGATATATACATACCTTTGACATACATGTACAAAGATTGAGATAAAAGTAAAAACATTTACTCATAATTCTCACCAATGGCCTCAACCAAACGGAGAACCATCTTCCCAGTGTGAACACCTCTTAGACAGCTTGTCCAATAAACCTTGTATGCATCAACAATGTAAACACAACCCTAATTGAGAGAAAAATAACGATTAGTCAATATATAATAGCATCCTAACTTTAGAGGAAGAGCATGAAGACAAAGATATATTTTGTTTTCTACATAAAAGACTTTATTCTGTGCTCATGGAAAAATGATTCTTGCACGTTTGACTAGCAAAGACAGGTACTAGCACAAACAATAAACATATATTGATGCTGGTCAATGTTACATGTTTTTCAACTCTCCTGTAAGGTTTTGGGGCTTCAAGGTCCAACTCAAAAATGATACATTGGAAATATGGTATTAGACATCATTTGAGAAAGATTCAATTGATGATGCCAATATGGATGATATCTCACTTCCAATTCATGTGTAAGCTTCATGACGGCGTACCTCCTTTCCAGCATATTTTGTAACATACTAGATAACACAGATACATAAGAGAGAAATTACATTGAGAAAGCACAACACGGATCCAGCCAAGGAACCTCCAACAGCTAAAAGTGCCAGAAAGCGGAAGTCAAAGATCATCTGTTTGAGAAGAACACTCAAGATTAAACATCGGAAGATGTAAAAGAAAAAAAAAACTTCAATAAAATAGAATGGTCAAGCCTTTCAGCAAAAAATATTTTGCTACACATGTCAAAAGAAAAAGAGAGAAACACATAACAGGTAGAAGTCAATTACTGGTAAACAAATGTACGTCTGATGAAGAGAACTGAGACTCAAGCGTAAACAAAAATGGGGAGAAAACCACATCCAAATAGTACCAGAAAAGAAACCAATTTGAATATGTGAAGACTTCTTCTTTCAAGTATTTCATGTAACATGATCTATAATACACAGACAAAACCAGATGAACTTTAGGGTTTAATCACTTTCCCTATCAGGCTAGGAAAACCAATGAAAGTATTATCATCTTTCCCTGCATTGAAAGGTAAAATCATGGTGTAGGCGATATAAGATTAAATGGAATACACTACATAGAAGCAAATTCACAAGACATGCATATGGGCATCAGCACGAAGTATCAAGAAACCAAAACTTCAAACCTATAAAATACCGACTATGTCCAAAATTATTGATACTTTAGACATGTCCCTATAGAAAATCAATATGAGCTCATACCAATGTACCCTTAGCTTAAGCTATGCTAAAACACAAAATTGCTTGTTCAGGACCCTCTTCACAATCGTTGGTCATTGATATAAAAGTAAGAGCCATACAGATAATGGGGATTAGATAGAAGAACCTCACAATGACTAGCATTAGCTCCCAAATTCATATTCCCTAGGCAATCCACAGTGGAAAACGATTGCATGATCCCACCCTGCTCCTGTGAAGAGCATCTAGTGACTATATACTTAGGTGTCCATTAAGAACTAATCAATTGATGTGTATATGGATTTAACTGTAACAAGCACTTACATAGAGATGTTGTTGTGTTTCATTAACTATGATCCCTTAGGTAGAAGCCTTAAAAGCGATGGACTGTAGACAGAACTTCAAATTTTTGAGCAAACACCATTGCAACTAGCCGGTATTTTCATAGTCCTCAATGCCACTACTTATGTTCTTTTATTTTTATATAAACATGTGTTGTTGAATGGAGGCACTGGCATGATTGGTTACTAAGTTGACAATGGCAACACTATATCCCAGGTTCAAATCCCACATTGACCATCACAGAAAGTCATATAAGCATGTGCTATAGTGTTCGGTATGATGCCCTTATGTTGTTCGTATAGGTGCCCTAATCCTCTTAGGTGGTCAGATGACAAATTTGAGTGAGCATTTCTAAGGCTGTATAAAAAGAAGTTCCTCTTTTAATTTATGTCTTTTATTTGTTACAAGAACCTGTAACCCAAGACAAAATACCTCAGAAACCCTTGACAAAGTATAAAGCACAAGCAAGCTCATCCAGCAACCCAATCACCACATATCATAACTATGGTACACTTACCAGATGGGCAATCCAAAATTCAACATAATCTTTTTTACTGGCCCAGAGATGTTTTTTAAATTGTTGATATCATTAAAGTTGTCCAATAAATCTATACCTAACATAAATGGATGAAAAGAAAATTCTTTAACAACCACCAATATGCAGTAGAAGAGTAACCAGAGAAATACACCGGTAAAAGAAAACAAGTTAGCAAGAAATCGATAAGAACTACGAAGAGAATAGGAACAAGGTTAACCAAAGAAACAAAAAAAAAGCCATAATTGATAGAAACAAGCTACTAAAAAAAGAGCAAGCGCAAAAGTAAGAAACAAATAATTAACAACAAGAATCAAGGTAATAAAAACACAATTTCCGAAAGGAGTTGAAGACACACACGCTCAACATTGGATTCAGTAGATGGAATGAAGTTAATCATAGCACCGCCATTAGGGCTAGCCACTGTTTCGGGGATCCTAAGCCCTACTTTACCAGAAGATGAACCAGAAGAATCATTAGAAGAAGAAGAGTGAATAAGAGGATCAGAAGTAGTGGCACGAACAAGCACGCGCTGGTGTGAGGGCACGAAGGCAGGTGAAGCAGGGCGGCGGAAGGGGGCAGTGCTCGAGACAGGAGATAGGAGTGCCACGGCATTTAAGGCAGTCGCCATGGAGAGATGAGAGAGAGAGAGAGAGAGATCTTTAAAATCTGACTGTAGACAGAGAGAGCGCATTAAAAGTTAGAGGCCAGGAGAGAGAGTTCAGATATCTCTGGTTAGAGAGAGAGAGAGAAGAGTGAGAGAGGGCCAAAAAGCAATGGGGAGGGCGACTTGCGCGAGCGTCGCAATCAATCTCACTGGGAAGAGTGTGGTTACCGTTGATCCTCTTCACAGTAGGCGGGAAATGGAGTACCACGCGGTCACAAATGGCAACAATTGGTGAGGCCAAAATTCCTATGCTCCCGAAGGAACATCTTCTCCATTTGCTCCCCCTGGCAAAAATACTGTTACCCCCAAATCTCGATGAGCACGTGTACCATGCTTCCCAAGGGCTATAATTTACTTCTTCTCCCCCCGTAAGATGACCTACTTTAGAAGATTTTTTCAATTTAAAATATTGGAGGTTATTTTAATTTTTTTAATTTAAAATATTGAAAATCATTCTAGAATTACTAGATGATTATTCTAAAAAAGAAGAAAGGTTTATGTGATTGTCTACCAAATAAACTATTTATTTTTAGGTGCGGTTTGTATATAGGCGAGGCGAGGCACTAGACAATCAAATTAGACCCCACCTTCAAATAGTATCAAAAAATGTGGTTTCAATACTAGAAAGTTTTTTGATAGCCTTAAATTATGTTTTCATCTTTACTTATAAAATTTAAAGCTTCAAAAATAGTGCAGATCGAACAGATCTATGAAAACTTGAAAATTAACAGTCCAAAAATGTGTTACAAGATGTACTATTTTTAAAACTAAAAATCCATTTTTTCTCATGTTCATGTATCCTGAGGTCAAAACAACCTCTTCTAGTGAAAGTTTTGAGGTAGGCTCTATTTTGATTGTTTAGAGCTTAGGCTCTATATAAACTTCCCCCTTTATCTTTTGTATATGGAGGTCATAAACCTCACTCATTAGATGTCAAATATAATAGCTTGGAGTTAGTCACGAAGTTCGAAATTTTTTTTAAAAAAAATTATATCTATTTAATGACACTCTTACAACCACTTATGTTGAAATTTAAGGGACAAGAATGATAGTAACATACAAAAGATAAATGATCTCTTTGTGGACAATCCCGAAAAGAAAGCTCTACAATTTGAATTTTCTAATACTTAGATCTTACCATCTAAAATTGGATGGTCACTATTCAATCTCGAGATATTATTTTTTGGAAATGTATATAATGAGACTATTTATTTTTTATACGAAGAGGTCATGATCATCATTAATGGCCATATTTGAAATCAAGTGGTTGAGGATGTGTCATTGTTTGGGCATAAAGTTCAAAATAAAAGTTCTCAAATGTTATGACTATGGATTTCACATCCAATAGCTAAAAGTGATGATGACCTCCATATATCAAAAATTAATGGTCTCGTAGAATAGAGTCCCCCTCTTCTCTTTTAAGTGCATAGAGGGTACAATTAGGGGAAAAAAAATTTGATTGAGGTTAATCAAACAGTTGAAGGGGTTAATCTTCAAAAATTGGGGTCCTAAAGTTAATTTTAGACGAGGTTTTGCCCGAGGGAGTAAATGGACATTCTACTTTACATACAACCTCTTGACCTAACAACCAACTTTTAAAAAAAAAAACAAATAAAACACAGAGTGTATGCACCTCAAAATCGACATCATAGGTTTGAATTGGAATCGTCTGATGTTTGGGCAATGATAACCACATGCCAGTAACCATTTGAATAAATCCCATTCGTAAAAAGTTCCAAACTGACTTACCTTTACGATTATAACCGGATATTTTATGCAAATTTTTGTTTTATTTATTCACATATTTAATTTGTATTCTAAAATAGAAAATACTTTGAGGTTATTCGTTACTTCTATTTTTAAAAAATATTAAATTGTTTTTATTTTTTTGTGGATATTCAGAATACCTATTTGATCAAAATATGCATTTTTATATTTGTAGCCTTTTTATTGTAATGCATACGTATTTGATCAAACTATTTTTCTATTTTATTTTTTAATTTTTTAATAATTATCTTTGATATTTGGATTGCTCGGCAAATGACGGTGTTGAATTAAATAGACAAATGTTAACCTTTATTATATTACTGTAAACTTTCTATACTATGCAGTTACCATTAACTAGTGAGCGTAGACCTAATACAGAACATATTAGGAGGGACGATTTGATTCAAATAGAAAACTCTAAAAGAACAAGAAAAGCCGTAAAAAATATAAATTCAAGTAGTGAAAAGAAATAGAGTGATTTATAATCCAACTAAGGGTATGGCCTTGTTAGAGCGGAACAGTTGTACATGATTCGTATACTTGGCCAAATCTACAGCATATGCTCTTGAGTAGCCAATTTCTCAACAAAGTTTGGATGCATGTATTTGAAATTTAAGATCAATGTATGATCATGGAACTTAAGAATGCATATCGACCGAAGTTCAGCCTTGCATTAGTCGCGTTCATAGTATCCTTTTCCTTTCTTTCAAATTAGAAAAGTGTTCTTTCCTTTTACTTGAAGAGAAGAAGAGTTATGGAACGTAGAAAATAACTTAGGTTGCAATTATTAAAAAAACAGTACAATCTTATATCTTAATATATGTATCACTTTAACATTTATCTTAAAAGTAGGACTAAATCTATAATATCCAACTAAAATTTATGAAGTAGAATATTACGACTTCGCTTTCTACAAATAAAGTTGCAACCTTGAATTACTCTGCAACACTCAAATTTACCAAGTTCTTAACTTGCCCATATGGGTATTTTACCTCGAAAACGAAACCCAAATAAATCAATCTCCAATAGAATTAAAATTCTACTATTTTATGAAATCTTCCTCCAAATTCATTAGAAATCATACCCTTCTCATTCAATGGCTCCCACAGATCACGCTAATAAAAGGACACAAGAAGTTAAACAAAAAAGACCTGAATGTTTTATATAACATTTTGCCCTAGTGTCATTTGATAAATATCAAAAAATTGATAAATTTTGAATCCCATTTTGACCGGGCCAATGAACATATGCTCAAAAGAACAATGGGCTATTTGAAACCGGATAAAAAAGTACAAGCAATATGTAAAATAGTTAAAGTCTTTAGGTATAAGTTGATGGATTTCCCGAATAACTATTAAGCATCCGGCTTTCGATCTCCTTGGACACAACTCTCATGAATCAAATTCTCCTAAAGAAAGACAACATAGGAAGAGAAATTACAAATTCTCCAACTGAAAAAGAAGCCAATTAATAGAATGGCACCTCTACGACTGAGCTATATATTTTTCTTAGAAATACAATGATGAAGAGCCAGTCACGTGGTTAAAAGCCCTTGGAAAAAGGAAAAAAAACAAACCACAGCATTTATTTTAAGCAACTCCTTCATTACCTCAAATGGCTCAAAACTGTTTAGAAAAGAGCAGATGAGAGAGAGACACTATGACGATTTTGCAGTAGCTTTTCTTCTCAATGTCCTCTTCCTGCGAGCTTTCGGGGGTGGTGCTTCCTGTGTAGAATCCTCCAAATTGCCCTGCTTCATACCAAGAAAGCCGAGACCAGAAATGATAGCTTTCTTGGAGATGAACCAGTTTGAACCACCATCTTGCAATGGCTCAGATCGACGGTTATAGGCCTTCAGAAGGTTCTCTGACTCAGCCATTGGGTCTGCCTCCACCCCTAGCCAAGCAAGCCTCGATGTTTCCCCAATCTCAACATTAAGAACCCTGCACCAAACACAATACATGTTGTAAACATGATAGAAAAACAACCTATGCAAAATAGTCGGACCCAAAACTGGTTCAAGGCATATGACCCAAATGGTTGGTCACAACTATATTTTATCACAAACCTTTGATGGACTTATAGTCTTCCATGTGATGAACTAAGGTATCATTTTGTTAATTGCAAGAGTCAAGAGACTATTGAAAGGATAATTAATCTACAGCTCCATGGGTATATTTTTGAGACTTGATTCTCACATCTGGAAATGATGCTTAATAGAATGGTACATGAAGCAACATAATAGAAATTAAAGAACAAAAGACCATAGTAACAAATAACTAATAAATGAAATGAGGTTAGCAGACCATAGTAGAAGAGAAATACCACATGCAGTAGACTAACCTTAGTACAGTACTGAAAAATAATGCCACTCCAAGGACCTCGAAATGATTATGCATTGCTCTCTCAGCTCCACATAACAATTGATATCGAAGATTTGCATAAAACCCTAGGAAAGCCCCATAACCCAGAGCATTGGTACTCACAGGTGGAATGGTTACTGACATCCTAAAAAACCCAATAGCAATGAAAAGAGCTATTTTGAGAAAGTGTGTATAAAAAAAAATTAAGTATTAGTGGAAAGCTGAAGCATATGTGTAATATACCTCCCCTCCTTTCTTGAAGCCAAAAATTTTGTTAAACCACCCTGGGCTGCACCAGCAGTTAATCCAACCATACATAGTTCTGCAGCCTTATAGAAAAAAGAATGGACTCTTTTCTGTAGGTCAAACTCTCTAAGGGGATAGCTCTTCTCAAAGACATTGTTGGGAAGCTTCTGCAGGGTATTTTGCAAATCAAAACGAAATGTATTCCCATATGAGCGACAGGGAGCAAGAGACCAAACAACGAGAGCATTGCAGGCTGAAACAGTCAACACATTAACAAGTGCGAGATCCCATTCTTGCTTTATTCTGGAAAGCAGAAAACCATATAAGTACCCCCAACCATTTATTTGTAACAAATCAGTTCAGGTTATTTGTTGTTTTTTTGATAAGTATGGTTCATTTATTTGTAACAAATAAGTACGGTGACATGGTCAATACCTTTCCCCCCGATTTTTTATCTCCCACCAAGTGGTACAACCAATAGAAGCAACCTGCTCTAGGAGCAATTTATGTAGGAAAGCTGGATCTGCAATCATCCTGCATGATATATGAATAAAGTAGGAGTTAGAAACAAAGGAAATTGACCAATAAGATGAAATAAAATAAGAATAACGAGACATAGAAAAGTTAATGTGTATGTGATTATGATTGCAAGAGATAGGAATCACTCAGAAAGACCACTCACGTCTGTGTACTGCTTTCAGACAACAGTAAAATCTCATAAAAAAACAGTGCTACTTTCCCGGTTGCAGTATATTTTATGGTTTGAAGTAAATCCACTGCAAGGCAGATTGGAAAAATCACCAGAAATATAATGAAAATTGGACAAGTTTATTCCCATTCCTATAGGCTATCATTTTACCTGCCAATGAAAGCCCTTGATAGCCCTTGAGGAAGAGCTCTCGAAATATATCTTGCTGTTGTTGGCCTGGCATTTATAACCAGGTACCTTACCACCTGGGCTGAACTCACCAAGCCCTAAAAATCACAAGACCCATTCAGATTAGCCCATTTGTAGACAATCATTAAAACCCTGTGGATATGAACTCACCATTTCATAAGCTTGGCGAAGCCCAGCAGGCAAATCCATCATGGTTTTGTACCATTCCTGCAAGACTGCATCCACGAATTTTCTATCGAAAAGCTGGAAAAGAAAAACAAGTATCAGCCTATCTCCAACAACGAAAGCTACAAGTTCGAGAAAACAGCATCATCTCTTGATCATGTAATAAAAATACCATAATAAGTACACTAAGCATCAACCAAAAATAAAATAAAATAAAAAGCATTACCAACAACAAAAAATCACAATAAGCATAAACCAACCTCTGGAAGGACAGCACGCCTCCTAAACAGGCCACCTTCATCACCTTCATCACCTTCTTCAAAATCACCAAAGTAGTCGTCATCATCTCCACCATCATCACCTCCATCGCCCCCACCATGATTGTTTTTCTTTCCAATGTCTCCACCCCCTCCACCATCTGCTGTCTGCCAAATACAATTAACATGAAAAAATCGAACTTAAGAAGTCCCTCTTATCATGTGTGAGAAATGATAGTAATCCAAAAGTTGAAAGCAGCAATTGATATTAAAAAATCTTCAACAAATTAGTAATGAAGTCATGATGTTATTACTATCTTGCTTCTTTCTTTTCCAAGCCAAATCAGCCCCGAAAAACAAGAAAACAAAAATTGGATAAGAAATCAGGCACAAGAACCCCAGTATTTTTCTACTTAATGGGGAAAAAAAAGGATGGGCAGAGGCAATACTTAATTCATTCCTCGGGAGCTACTTCATTTCAAGCAAAACACAATATTATATTTACGAAAAATAGATGGTCTGATCAGGTGTTGTTGCTTCTCATTTCCCCATTAAATTTAGCTATTCGGAGACCCCCAAGTTCAAGGGACAAGTAAAAAATATATACATCGCCCACGAGTAAGAGAAAACACTCCAAGCTTACCCATTCCATTCTTGGAAAACATGGAGACATTAATATAAATTAAATCGCCAGTACATCGAAATGGACCAAAAAAAAAAAAAGAGATTTAAGCAACATTATTGAAAGGTAAATACCCATATCTCTGCACATTGACTAGACGATGCATTCTCATGCAACAGGCTCTGATATTCAAATGCTCCTAAATGATGTTTTCCGGTTCATATATTTATCTAGGGCAAACCAAGTAACTAGAAATAAAGAAAGCGATAACACACGAAAGAAGAATGTAGAAAAAGGATCTCCATTTGTCCATTCATCAACCCTTAATAAAACTGTCCACCAGTTGATGAACCCTAATCTATTTTCTAATTGCCCTATTTGCTTTAACCTCCTTAAAATCCGTTTCTTTACAATTCTTTTGCATTTGACTGAATGTCCATATATGGGTTGAGAATTGACAGATATCATACTCACTCCATACAGTGTTTTAAAATGTGGCCGCATCGCCGCATATGCGGCCGCATAATGCCGGATGCGCTCGCATCTGCATCGCAAACTAGCGCATATACGCTTTTGACAGATGCGGCCGCATATGCGACGCATCATGACCACATCGCCCGCATCTATTTTCCGCGGAAAAAATTATCGATTTTGCCCCTCGATGAGGGGGTAAAATGGTCTTTTTGAACTTCCAAAGTTTAGGGAAATTGTTTGAGGGGTTATTATACCCCGTAAACGAAGATTTTCAGCCACTTTTGTGGCTTTTTTTGCATCACATCGAGGGGAAAAAAAAATTTGGCGAAAATTTTTTTTCATCCAAATCTTCGATTTGGTGGTTGTTTGATACTTGGATGTTCATTTGATGCCTTTGATTGTTGATTGGGGGATGTTAAGGTGAATTTGTGATAAGAAATTGGGGGTTTCAGAGGCCGTGAAGAAATCGAGCACTACTTCACAGATTCGGTAATTTTTATTCCTTCTTGTACAATAATACTGTTATACTTATTTTTGGGGCAATGTCTTCTTCCCAATCTTCTAGTAACAAGGATCCGGCTTGGAAATAATCTAAACTAAAAAATCCGAAAGATAGAAATTGTGTGATATGCTTGCTCTGTGGAAATACTTATATGGGTAGTATTTTTTTGACAAAAAGAGCATTTAGCCTGAATTTCTAGGAATGTAAGAGCATGCCCACAAGCTACAGATGATATAAAAAAGGAGATTAGAGAATATTTGGATAAATTGACAAAAGATAAAGAGGAAAAAAGAAAAAAGAATTACTTGATGATATGCAATTATTTGATGATGTTGATGATGATGATGATGATATGTCTGAAGTTGCTATGAGGCAAAGGGGTATTCATACTCCAACCTCAAGAGAGAGGGTTATAAATATTGGTAGTAATGCTGAGAGAAGAACACCTCTCTCTAAAGGGCCAATGGATTCTTTTTTCACCCCTAGCCCCGAAATTGTGGTTTAGGAGAGAAAGAAAAAAACAAAACAAACCACAATTCAAAATAAATATAAGAAAAACAAAACAAACCACAATTCAAAATAAATATAAGAAAAAACAAAGGAAGTCAGTATGTAAGTGGATTGCAAAGTGGGTTTACATGGCCAGCATTCCTTTTAATACTATAACTCTGGATAGTTTTGCATGTATGGTCCATGCAATTGGTACTATGGCTCAGAACTTATTCCTCCTTCACTACATGAGGTTAGGGAGCCCTTGTTGAAGGATGATGTATTTGATGTGAATAACATTTTGATTTCTCAGAGAGAAGGGTGGGAGAAATATGGGGCCACTATTATGTATGATGGTTGGTCCGATGGGAAATCAAGGGCATTCATTAATTTTTTGGTTAACTGCCCAACAGGTACTTTTTTTGTTAAGTCTATTGATGCATCAGACAAGTCACATGATGGTACATACTTATGTGACTTGATGGATGAGATTGTCGATTTTGTTGGAGAGCAAAATGATCACTGACAAAGGTGCCAACTATGCTGCAGCTGGGCATTTCTTGACTTTGAAAAGGAAGCATATGTTTTGGACTCCTTGCGCAGCTCACTGTGTTAATCTTATGCTTAAGGAAATGGGTACAGCATCTTTATTTAGTGGGGTGATTTCAAGAGCTATGTTTGTTGTTGGATTTATTTACAATCACACCATAGTCCTAAGCATGATGAGGTCTTTTACAAAGAAGAGAGAATTAGTGAGACCGGGTATCACCAGATTTGCCACGTCATTTCTCACTCTTCGAAGCCTAGCCAAGCAAAAAAGTGCCTTGAGGACTATGTTTGCTTCAGAGCAATGGAGTCAAAGCAAATGGTCAAAGCATAAGGATGGGAGAAAGGCTGAAAAACTTATTCTGAATACATCTTTTTGGAGTTAAATAATTCTTACATTAGAGGTGGCTCGCCCTTTAGTGAGAGTGCTTCGACTGGTTGATGGTGATTCGAAGCCCACCATGGGCTACATACACAAGGCAATGACTTGGGCAAGAACTTAAATAAAAGATGTTTTAAAGGATGATGAAAATATGTGTAAGGCTATACTTGAAATTATTGATAGGATTTGGAGACCCAGCTTCACAGGCTCCTCCATTCAGCCGGTTACTTTGTAAACCCATCTTTTCACTACAAGCACCCATCCATTGAGTCAGATCGTGTAATAAATGGTGGGTTCTTAGATGTGCTGGAGAGGTTGGTGCCAGACAAAGATATTCAGGATGAGATCCAGAGCCATGAATTGATTAAGTTCAAGTTAGCCTTGGGAAACTTTGGGAGAGATATTGCCACTCGAAATAGGGACACTACAGATCTAGGTAAAGGCCAAAAGCCCAAAAATAATATTACTTGTCTCTTACTTTATGTATAGTTCCATTGTTTATTTTATACTATTAATTTTTAACTATATTCTAAATTATAAACTATTATACAGCTGCATGGTGGGCATTATATGGAAGCGAGACACCAAATCTACAGCGTCTCGCTATTCGAGGGTTGAATCTCATATGTAGCTCATCTGGTTGTGAGCGCAATTGGAGTGCCCTTGAGCATGTAAGTCCTTTACTCCTTATTCCTTAATCCTTATTTCTTGAATTTCAATTTTTTAATCTAAAATCTAATTTATCTGATTTCAAATTTCTACCACAACTCCATACAAAAAAAAGAAATAGGTTGGAGCAGAAAAAGTTGAATGCTTTGGTTTATGTGCGGTATAACGAGCAGCTTAAGGAGAGGTATGAAAATCGCACGAAGCTCAACCCTATTCAATTATATGAAGTTGATGGTGATTCCATAAGTGAGTGGACCATGGATCCAAGACAAGAGCGTGTGTTTGAGGGTGAGGATCTTACATGGCTTGATGTCGAGCGAGCAACAGGGGCTAATGAAGAAGATCAACCTAACACTAGAGCACAAAGGGGTAGAGGAGTTGCTGGGTCTAGTCGCACTCGCACATTAGCTTCAGAGGTCAAGGAGGAGGAAGCTGACTCAGAGGAGACCGATGAAGAAGAATACATGGAGGCCGTCGAGGATGATATTGATGATGCGCATGACGACTCTCAAGATGACTTGTCTTATTGATATTTGAAAAAATGAAGTTTAAATTTCAAAATTGACTCTCAAAATGGATGATTGTATTAAGTTATTAACTATTAACTCTTCTTGACCTTGACTTTTGGTTTGTATTTTGTAATATCACTATTTTGTGCTTATGGTTGTACTTATGGTTGTTGATGGTTGTGCTTATGGTTGTGCTTATGATGCAAATTTGTGCTTATGGTTGTTGATTGTTGAATGCTTTATGAAGCTGGTTTCAAGTTTCTAGTTTCTATCAGGGGATAGTGGATAACTGGATATAGAATCTCCGACAGCTAATAGTTCTGAAGTTAAGCATTAAACTAAATACATACTATCACATATATCACCTTCATTTTTTTTTTATGCATTAACTTATTTTTTTAGATTTTTTTAGAATTTTTTTACATTTATTGACCGCATCATCGCGATGCACCCGCATCCGGGCCGCATCGAGCCGCATCGGCCCCCCACCGCATCAGAGCCGCATCCCGCATTTTAAAACATTGACTCCAGATAACTCCTCTTTTTGGCAAGAGAAGTCCATAGGCTCTTTGGCTGATTAAAGTGAAGACCTCAGCTGTATTTTTAAAAAAAGAAAAATTAAAAAAAATATATGTATTACTAAGCCTAATATATATCAATGTACAAAGTATATTTTCCAAATTCAGAATATCAGAGGCAGTTCTACAAATTTTTTAATATAGTAAAGGTACTTCTAGTAAATTTTGAATATATCAGGAGCATTTTTAAATTAATAACTATATTTTAAATATACCAGGGACCGATTCCTCTTACTTCAAATTAGACATAAAACCCAAAGACATTTGCAGAAACGGCCAGAGCATAACGAATCTGATAACACTGGCTATGAGCACACGGATCAAAGTGATGAAGTATTCAAATATTTAATAGTTCAATATACAAGAACTCCAAAGAAATGCATGAAGGAGCACCATA